AGCTGAGCTGTTGCTGAGCTGCCAACAGGTGGCTGGATGGTTCAGCTGGTGTAACAACAAGATTGCCTGTTCGATGGTGGGCTATGCCCACCCACGACTAAGACTGAACTCGGCAACTTGAGCTGAGCTGCTGCCTGGATGTCTCAGTGGATAGAGTGTGTGCTCTTAACAACAAGGCTGCTGGTTCGACTCCCGCATAGGATGGTGGTTACGCCCACCCGCAACTAAGATTGAACTCGGCTCCTTGAGCTTAGAGGCCATGAGCTGCTGACAGGCAGCCAGATGGCGACTGGCGCCCTCCACAAGGAAGATTGAAGAACAACACCTTGGCTGGTCCCCTTCCCCAATTCCCCAGCACTGTTCCTCTCCCCCAATTCCCCAATAAAATCTTAAAAAAACAAAAATTAAAGAAAAATATAGTAGAAATTGTAAATCTAAAAGAAAGGTCTTCGGAAGACCAATAAAACAGATAAATCCATTGTAACAGCAAAGAGAAACAAGATTAGGAAAAAGGAAGGAGACATAACTACTACAGACATAGGAGAGGTTACTACAGACAACTTGATGACAATACATTTGAAAACTGAATGGAAAATAGATTCTTTCCTAATAAAATATACATTGCCAAAAGTGCACCAAGAAGTGGAAAACCTGCCTAGATCTATTTCAGAAGAGAATGGAAAGGTAATTATGAAGCCAACATGATTTTTACCATAAAAACTTGATAAGGATTATACAAAAAGCAAACTATAGTATATCTCACATATGAATATGGATACATACAAGGAAACCCAGCAGTGTATCAAAAGAGCAATGTATGTTACTAAACATGGTTTCTTTTTGGGGTATAAGGTGGTTCAGTATAAGGAAATCTGCTACTGTACAGTAAGTAATCCATCATATCAACTAATTAAATGAGAAAAACTCATACAACAATAAATGCTATAAAGACATTTGATAAAAGACACCAGCAATTCTTTAAAAATAAATAAGCCCCTCAAAGTAAAATGAATAGAAGGAAATTTCTTGAATATAAAAAAGACTATCTACCAAAAGCCAGTAGTAAGTAGTATAGCACTTTATATAGTGAAATAAAGTCATCCAGTTAAAATCTAGACCCAGACGGGGTGGCAACTGTTGCTACCAATAGCATATAACTTTGTCCTGACCTTTCTAGCAGATACAGTAAGACAAAACTGAGGGAAATAAGAGGTATAATAAGCTTTAGAAAAGATAGATTAAAAAGCACATCTCTTTGCTGGCAGTAGACTTGGGGAAAAAACAAGACTCCTCAATTGAAAAAACCTCTAGAATTAGTGAGTCTGCTAAGGTGGGTAGATGCAAGATAAATATATAGACATTAATTACTTTTTAAAGATTTTATTGGAGAATTGGGGAGGGGAATAGCATTGGGAAATCAGGGAAGGGGAACAAACAAGTTTCTGTCCTTTTGATCTTCAGTCTAGTTGTGGAGGACGTCGCTTCACTGGCCCATGTTGGTAT